ATAATTTATTTAATATTTATATATGTTTGGATAGATATTAATTTTTATTCTGATTTATTTGTTTCCTAATAAATTAGAGTAGCCCCCTCCCTCACTAGCAAGATATCTGATTTGTCTCGCCCCTTTTTCTTATACCTAGTCTCACGTGAGATCTTTCAAATTTTGTATTTTGAGTATAAATGCTTTGGATTCATTTAAAAACAATTTCCTTTGTTATTTTTATTAAGACTAGTAAAGACTACTATCTGAGATTGTTTAGACAGTAATCGAAAATCACAGTGATAACATTAAATAATATTTAAATTGGAACTACCAAAATTAATTGGGAACATTCATTCTAATTTAGTATATGAGACTAGTGCACTGTGCATCCAAGACTGGCTGTTGGTACCTACTATCAAATCCATGTGATTTTTAGTAAAACCATCTGCCTCTTCACCTTTGTTCTAATTTAGCCACTCTCAACCGGTGTCACTTGCGCACATAAGTTTAGTAGCTCCTCTTATGAAGTTTAAACTGAGGGCCATAATTTTATTCCAATAAATAAACAATTTATCTAAAACCACCTTTTCGATATATTCAATATACTAAATTACTTTAAATCTATATACGGTATCCCAATATTTCGTGAATATTGAACTACTCGTATCATACTACGTTACAAAATAAGTTTATTGGACCCAATTTACCTCATACAAAAGTGCCTCGTTTGTCCATTAGAGGGCATGAAACTTTAAAGAAATAAACACATTTTTCAGATATTTTAAGAACCGTTAATCCGATTTGACTGAAATTTTGGGAGTCCATGTTTCGCTGAGTGCTTTAGCATTTGATTTTCACAAAAATCAAGAAAAGGTACGGGAAGGGTGAAAACTACCTCACCCCTACAAAAATTTTAGTATAAATATTTTCCAACTCAATCGACGCGACGGCAGATTTATTTTTCGTAAAACGATCCTTTTAGTATTTATTAAATTTTTTATCTCTTGTCAAAAAAACCCACCGTGCATACTTTTTGAGAAATTTTTTTTCCGAAGATGATTTCTAAAAAATGTTTTTTTTCACATCATGCTATGGAGGCGCATAAAATCTATTATGCTCTAATAATCTAGTTGGCAAAAATATGGAATTTTATGTTAGTATCAGAAATTATATTTGACAATAAGCTCCATAAAAAGCTTAAAAAAATAATAAAATTTAAATTAATTAACGTTCGGGTTTATGTTTTATTGATGCCCTCTAATGGACAAACGAAGCACTTTTGTATAAAGGCAAATTCTGTGCAATTAACTTATTTTGATCCAAAAAATACGTAGTTCTTCTATGTCCACGGAATATTGGAACTCCCTGTATATTCGGTAGGTCTGCGTTGGAAAAATTAATTCTCCAGAAGTGTTTCTCTCAAAGATTATGCTATGTGGCGTTTTTTTACAAGAGACAAAAAATGTAGTAAATACTAGAGGGACCATTCTCAGAGAAAATCTCTCATCGGTGGAGTTTGACTTATGAGTTGGACTTTTTCTTGATTTCTGTGAAAATAAAATGTAAAAGCACTTACGTAAAACATAGTGACCCAAAATCTCATTCAAATCGGAATAACGGTTTTTAAAATATCTAAAATATTGTGTTTATTTTTTTAAAGTTTGATGCCCTCTAGCGGACAAACGAAGCACTTTTGTATGGAGGTAAATTGTGTCCAATGAACCTATTTTGATTCCAAAAATCGTAGGAGTTCTATGTCCACGGAATATTGGGACACCCTGTATATGGAATTTAGTATATCTGCAGAAGAATTATGCCAGATTTCGACATATTTTATTCTAAAAATGTTTCAATAAAAATTAAACCGATTTTTACACATTTTTACACTATTTTTGTCCCGAATAAAAATTACAACCAAACCTAACCTAACCCTCACGGGGATTTAGTGGGGATCACAAGATTTAGTAGGATTCGGCTTGACCGGATGCGGCAAAAATATTTATGATTTAATGAAATATTATAATCAAAAATGTATAATAACCACATAACGATCTTCATTAATACTATATTTTTAATAAATAAATACAGCAACCAGGGGCGCAACTAGGGGAGTGGTTAGGGGGCTTAGTTAATGTGACCTGAGCGCCCCCCCGCAAAAAGACTTGGACCCCCCTAAAAGTCTATATCTAGTTGCGCCACTGACGACAACCTAGAATTTTCTGTTTACATCCGGTTTGTATATCTTAAATGCCTTTGTTCTATAACAGTAAGGTTTGTCTATCTATAATTTTTGTATAAGATTTTAAAAGCTGGACATTGGAACAATAATACATGAAAAAACTCCAGGTAACGCAAAGAACAAAGATAATATAAAGAATAACAAAGGAGGGCTAGAAAAGGGAAGATAAAAGACTATGGTAAAAGACGGGATCTACAGAATAAAATATTTCAGATGATAATGGTACGGTCACCTAGAAGGAATAAGGACTAACTTAAAAACTAACGATGGACCACCAAAAGTATTGCATTATAGGTTCCCATATTCACTGTTTTTGAAAACTAGTATATGTGATTGATTACAAGAGTTTCTAAAAGATATGTAAGCTTTGAAAAATAAGTATTTGGTTATAATTTAACCACCTATAATAATTAAAATTAAATAAAATCCTGAAATCAATAAATTATATGTTGCATTGTTGTTTGATGCTAACAAAATGGCCTACAGTTTGTAGTGCTATATTTTTAGGAGGGCCAATTGATATAAACACTCCCTCCGACCAAAATTATATATAGGTATGGCCTAAGCTTATTTTTATATTCCCCTATTTATTTTCTCTATTATACTCATAAAAAGTATTGCTAGGGGTAATACAAAGAAACTTTTAGTTATTGTTTGTCTAATTTATTTTAGTTATGGTATTTTCTATTTCTTGTTACTTATCGTACTCTATACTTTGAAACTTTTTTTGTATTCTGGTCCCAAAATGAAGTATTAAATTTAGTTTTTTTAGCTTTTTATTGTAGAAAATTAACATATATGAAGTAAGTGAGAAATTTGACAAATTACATTATCTTTATAGTGCAATTACTACTGCAGACTGTCAAGAAGTTGCAAATTTAATAAATATGTTAAAAGTTATCTGTCTACTTGTAAGGGGTATCAACGACCACCGTACATTTCAACACATTATTATTTGAATAGATACTATGTTTCCTCATAGAGAACTACCATACGATACGGCCGAAAAAATGGCATTAAAGATGGCTTGTAAAGGAGATTGCCTTCATTTTCTATGTAAAGTAAAATTTTACTAGGAATAGATCTATCAGTCGTTTCCAAGCCAACTGGACGCCGTTTTTTCGACCTTCCGAGCTACATACGTATATAGCTACAGCATTATTAAAAAAATAGTTGTAACTATTGATGTTATCTGATTTGTCCTTCACTAATCCGACTACCCTTTTAGAAGCAACTTAAATCCTTATAAATTTGAATACCTATCTAATCAGCATGCACCTAAAAATAGGACCTTGATGGTCATCCAGGATATTCAAGTCCGAAAAGTAAACAAAGATGGCTTCGTTCGGTGAATACCAGGTAGTAATAAACTCAAATTGTTTCTAAATCAAAAACTGATGCAAAAAAGAAACATAACTTACAAAAGTGCAGTTTATGCAGCCCTGTAAAAGATGATTTCAACGGAATCTACTTCTAAAGAAAGGCTTTGGTAATTTTCCTTTTAAGTTTTGGCAAGTAGCCATCTGAAAAACTAAATTTCTCACACAATCAAAGTCACAAATATATTGTGTGATTTTGTAGCAATTTAGTAGATATTCGTAATACTAAAAATAGGTTTAAATCTACTTATGAAAAATTTGACAAAGTTTGATATAAACCTCATTATGGTGGTAGAGTGCGCGAACTTTGAAAATATAAGAAGAACATAATTATTTGTTGCTTCTAACAACGGGAAAATATATCAGATATAGACAATGAGGTTTTATAACAGATTGAATGATTCTATATCCATTGGCACATAAAAAAATATTGTAATTTTTGTTTCCTATTTAAACAGGGAAATGTCCCGGTCTTTACAATAATATAGATATTATCTTAAAACACTAGATTTGTAGAGCCACTGTAAACAACATTTTCAAATACGAGATAATCTGCTATTAATCCTATAAAATAAGTAAATATATTTCAGCATTGCAGAACTATGTATTATATTTAAGGCAGGGAGAAAAACATTTTTCAAGGCATTTTAAGGATAATTCAGTTGATAAAAGTTCAATAATCACCTGCTGACAGTTTTTAAGCAAATATTCTTTTTTAAAAGTGCACTTTTCTACTAAAATTCACCAAAACACTTTTTTAAACTCTGAACAATCCATATTAGAAACGATAGCAGTTGATTTATTATCTTCCCACATATTAGTAACTTGATAATGCTAACATAGTTAACATGCTCTATAGTTAGTTAGCAGTTTCTACCAAAAGATTAGGTAATTATAAATAACGTTTAGTTTTAATGATTAAAATATTTGATTTTTATAAAATGTGTCTTGATAGAGATAAAAAGAAGTTTTGTTGTAGTATGATAAAAGTCTGATTAGCAACTTATAGATATAAAATGTAAACTTTATTTGCCCACCAATCAATTTTCTTATAATAACCTTGTTGTTGATACGGCAGTCCGGTGGAATAGGATCAATAATTAGGAAAACTGCTCATTTTTGAAGCAAGCCTAATTGTAATGTTAAAAAACAAGAATTTTTTTTAGTTAGTAAATGTTTTCAGTTCTGCAATTTGCTTGAGAAATAAATGCGTATCATACTTATCAATATTAGGAAAAATGTTCTGAAAAAGTTAAAAATCTCGAAATACCACAATATCTGTTTCTAATTGGTGCTATCCTCACCAGCATGCATCGAGGGTCATCCGGTGTATCGCTAAATCCAAACCGTAAACAAAGATGGCGGCGGCGGTAGTAAACACCGACCGCTAACGAACTCACCTTGTCGCCGAAAAAGGACGATCACACCAACCAGCGGCAGCCAAAAACGTCCGGTCCTCGAACGTGGAAAAAATCGACGCCTAATAAACAATATAAGAAGATAATCTGCAACGGCGTCGACGATACACTAACCAAAGTCAATATATATATCACTGCTCTCTCATCTATTTGTTCACTTAGTCAAACGGCACAATACCCGAGTTAAGCCGAGGTACTTAGAGCGAGATAAAACCGAGAGTTTAAGCGCAAATCGGTTTACCGTAGATTCCTAACTATATACACGCGCCTAATACGAAAGCTGTATTAAATAAGTAGAATTGATCCTCACTTTTCGTGGCTCGGGACGCGCCGCCGTAGCCACGCCCATCCCGAACGGCAGAGGGAGGGGTGGGGTAAGGGGTAGGGGGTGAGAGGGGCGAGGCCAGGCGCCGGGCCAGCGACGCCGGGCGTCGAGCGGGCCGGGTAACTATGAGTACGCGGTGAAAAAATGGGAAAATTGTTATATTTTTCATTAGATTCCTATAAAAGAGTTGTGTTGTGACGAATGTTTACGGTCATCTTGGTTGGTTCACTAAGGTTCAAATCCACCGTACACGCCAGGGGCGTGCGGAAGAAAATTAAGTGAATAAGGAGCGATATCTAGAAACTTACCTAACTATCTGTAATGCAAGTCGACTAATTCAATTGTAAGAGATGGCCCATCGTGCAGTTTGCAAAAAACAATAACCTATCATTACTTTACTGTCAAGTTCATATCATCCTATAACTTACGAGATATATTTACTGATTAATATTACTGATGATTATATTATTAGAAGACTTATATGATAAAAGTTCCTTCTCTACTTAATTACTGACATTATACAGGGTGGTTCGAGTTCTATTCGGGAAACCTCAGCAGCATATTCTGCAGATAAAAATAAGTTATAAGTTCCTATAAATATGTTCTAAAATGCTTCGTTTCGGAGAAACAGGGTTTAGAAATTTAATTTTTATTTCTGTAAAAATTGCCTCGGCTAATGGTTCTCGAGATCGCTGGTGAAATCAAACCGGCATATTTGCAAAATGCATATTTTTCACCAGAGCGCTTTAAGGTTTTTGGATGTGATATTTTCCTTTTAACTTCCGTTTTTTATTGATTTTTTATTACCGATTTTTATTGAAGTATACGATATGCCGATTGGACATATAAATAGACGGAAAAAATGGAAATTTTTTGCACCAAAATCTCAATTTTTGCACATATGCAAATAATCAATACATGTCACTATTAATAAAAATTAAACATGTTGCCTAGATACAGTTCATACACTGATAAAAAAGATAGACTTGAACTAAAGTCGACATCGTTCTTGAAGAAAAAAATTTATTAGCAAGAGAATTTATTTTAGTGTAAAAGAAAATATTTTGCCTGAAGAAAACGCTCTCTTAACTCAAGAAAACTGGTTCTCTTGAAAAATTCGAAAATTTCTCTTGAATCTATTTTCACTCAACCAAGTGCAAGTTACTTTGTTTTAAGATAATAAGAAAAATACGCTAGGAAGTACTTCATTCAAGAAACATGGCCATTTTTCCAATAGCTAAATACTCTTTTGATGAAAAATAATAACGACATGCAAAGACGACGACGAAGGACGGTATATACAATCAGTCGTCCGATGGCATGGCAGTCCGATCAGTCGTACGTCGCATTTCATAGTACGCACGGGTTTTGTTGAATTTTTGGAATTTTGCATAATTTGCTTTTTAAACGCATATCGTATAACAAATTAGTGATCGTTATTAACATGCATTTGTCATTTTTATGGACAAATTTTAGATATATGGTTTAAAGGAGGTTTCTGAAAAAATGGAAATTAGAGCATTTATTTGCTATATTTGAAGGTAAGAGACATTTATCTAATGCACCTGTTCAGATAATGCATGCGTGATATAGATAGAATAAGAAAATAAGAATATCGATCGATTTTTTTATGCAAATAATTACAAAAATTTTAGAATTTCAAGTCGTCGTATTAAAAAATTCAAAATGTGACAAAAGTTTATAATTTTAATAATTTATTTGCTATACTTTGATTAATCGTGATATAACATTTTTTTTTAATTTGTAGAGTGATGAACCACCCCAAAAAATACCAAGGAGTGAAGAAGCAGAAATAACTACTATCGAGAAAATTAATATCACTTTACTTACTACTCTGTAGTAAGTAAAGACCAGGACAACCTAAATTTATCAGAAAATAATATACCTCATAATATGCCTGTATTGTATATGATGTATAGACTTCTCTTAGATCAAAATAAATTTTAGTTGAGTCAATATTATTCGCTATTGGTTTAAGAAAAGTGTCTCTTTAATCAAGAAATGTCCCTTTTCAATCAAGAACTTTTGCATGAATCAAAGAGACTATTGTTCTTGTAGCAAGAACTTCTTTGCATATTCATTTTAGGTGAAGAGTGAAATGCTTTGGACAGATAGATTATTCTATTCTGTAAAGTAATTTTTTAAAGCTTATGAAAAGATAATTAATGCTTTGGGCAAAGTAACGTCGTTCTTGACCCTATTGAAAAGCGCCAATCTTTTGGGTCAAAGTCATATTCATTTCGACTGAGAGATCCTTTTTTTTTCAGTGTACCAAATAAACTTTTAGTCACATGATTAAGCTTGACCGGCACAGTGTTGCCCACTTAATATATTTTCTTTTAATCAAAAAATTTTATTAAGCAAAAATAAATTAGTTATAACTATATTAAACAGTTATTATTTACATCAATAAAACTCGCCTTCTTAATAGCACTTAAGGGACATAATAAAGGGTCATTATTACTTTTCCTTTCAAAATATTCTAATAAAGTTGCGATGAGTTTTTTTACTACTATTAAGCTATCTTGTACACTTCGCACTAAAAGAGGTTCTAAAAAGAACAATGTTCGACTGTTAGGCCTTCTAGTAAACATTTTTAAGCTTAAAGTTACACAACACTATTTATTTAAACCAAAAGCTGGTAATACAAAACTAAAGTGTTAAAACGAATGACAAGGTCAGGAAATAAATAAATAAATGCGGCAATTTGACATTTTTAACAGCAGAGCTACCACCTGAATTTCCAGCGCGAAATTTAAATTCCAGTTAATCAGGCCGGCTCGGAATATGTCCATCGTTGGCAAGAATGAATTTAAAAATTGTGCCCTCGATTACGTAACTAAAAGTTTTATTGATATGAAATATGGTTATTACTTCCCCTAGGAGATTCGAGACCTTGTCGTTGGTGGGGAAGCTCTTGGACATGTGCTAGGGGGAGCCCCTCTAGCACTTTGGCTGGGTCTACAGAGTATTTCACTCTCTTGTTTCTGGCTGTAGTGTCGTGGCCAGGTAATTGCACGAAGTAATTGTTTATAACGATGCCGGATGGGACTACACTGTCCGTCATACCAGGCATCTTCTAGTGTCTGAGATCATGAGTGTGATCATGTGTGATCTGTGATCATGTCTGTGATCACGAGCAGAGTGTGTGCGGTGAGGTATTAGCTTTACCACCTGGACCTAGAGGAGACAAGCTCACCAAAAACCTAAATCCTATAATGTTGGGACCAGGTCAAAGGGATGCGTTGCTAGATAGAAGACTAGCCTCTACTGGCCTCAAAATTGGGGCACCCCATTGGGAGCAACCCATAGTATTCTTGCCTCCCTTACGATTACATGCGGGGCCCTGTAGACGTGGACCGACTAACCCTTGCGGTGTAATTGACCACAAATTCAAGGAGGCAATAGGGAAAGAAGGATATATATCTTCTATTATAGATTCGGGACAACATTGGTATCAGGTCTAAGGAGAGATCAAAAAAGAGGTGAAGCAAATGGAGACAGATCTCCCACACTGAAAAAAAGGATCTCTCAGTCGAAATGAATATGACTTTGACCCAAAAGATTGGCGCTTTTCAATAGGGCCAAGAACGACGTTTCTTTGCCCAAAGCATTAACTATCTTTTCATAAGCTTTAAAAAATTACTTTAGAGAATAGAAGAATCTATCTGTCCAAAGCATTTCACTCTTGACCCAAAATGAATATGCAAAGAAGTTCTTGCTACAAGAACAATAGTCTCTTTGATTCATGCAAAAATTCTTGATTGAAAAGGGACCTTTCTTGATTAAAGAGACACTTTTCTTAAACCAATAGAGAATACTATTGACTCAACTAAAATTTATTTTGATCTAAGAGAAGTCTATACATCATATATAGGCATATACAGGCATATTACGAAATTATTTTCTGATAACTTTAGGTGTTCCTGGTCTGTAGTAAGTAAAGTGGTCACATTTTGAATTTTTTAATACGGCAACGACTTGAAATTCTAAAATTTTTGTAATTATTTGCATAAAAAAACCGATACCTATATTCTTATTCTATCTATAGCTATGAATGCATTATCTAAACAGGTGCATTAGGTAAATGTCTCTTACCTTCAAATATAGCAAATAAATGCTCTAATTTCCATTTTTTTAGGAATTCCTTTAAAGAATCCATATATCCTAAAATTTGTCCATAAAAAATGACAAATGCATGTTAGTAACGATCACTAATTTGTTATACGATATGCGTTTAAAAAGCAAATTATGCAAAATTCCAAGTGGAAAATAAGACAAAAATTCCAAAACAAAAATTCCAAGTGGCAACAAAACCCGTCCGTACTATGATGTGCGACCTATGAAATGCGACGTACACAGATCACGACGACTGATCGGACTGTCGACTGATTGTATATACCGTCCTTCGTCATCGTCTTTGCGCGTCGTTATTATTTTTCATCAAAAGAGCATTTAGCTATTGGAAAAATGGCCATGTTTCTTGAATGAAGTACTTCCTAGCGTATTTTTCTAATTATCTTAAAACAAAGTAACTTGCACTTGTTTGAATGAAAATAGATTCAAGAGAAATTTTCGAATTTTTCAAGAGAACCAGTTTTCTTGAGTTAAAAAAGTTTTTCTTCAGGCAAAATATTTTCTTTTACTCTAAAATAAATTCTCTTGCCACTAAATTTTTTTTTCAAGAACGATGACGACTTTAGTTCAAGTCTATCTTTTTTATCAGTGCAGCCTCCACCTCAAGGGTACCTCAGCAGGAGACAGGCTCCTCGACTGTGAAGGGCACGGAGGGCCAAACGCCAACCGTGGAAGGGTGTATACCCTCACACTGTAGAGGTGGAAGCATTTTAGAACATATATTTAAACAAACTTTGTACTTAAGGTGAGTTTATATATATCCGTAATGCGTCGT